TTAGATTACCATGACAGGTCTAGGGATTGGTATCTGTCAGCTTCCAGAAGGCCCAAATGGATGTGGCTTAGGTGAAACTATGTACTCTATTAAGTGCCTAAACCTTTGTATATTTGTGGGAGACACAGTGGATTTTCCTGGGTAATGCACAGAGATTTCATTAGATCCCAGAGTGGTTTTGGGGGCCCAAATCATTAGGATCACATTACACAGTCTGACTTTGTAATGAGTCTGACCATGATCCATGAGACAGAACAAGGGAGATGACTTGATCATGCTTGGTGTGTGACCTCCTGGGTTCAGTGAAGCAATATTGCAGAAGTTAAAAATCTCTGGACCCTGGGGCTGGGAAGGTGGCTCAGTGGTAGAGCGCTTGCCTTGCATGCATGAGACGCTGGGTTCGATTCCTCAGCACCACATAAGCAAAAAGAAAAAAGCTGGAAGTGGCGCTGTGGCTCAAGTGGTAGAGCGCTAGCCTTGAGCTGAAGAGCTGAGGGACAGAGCCCAGGCCCAGAGTTTAGGCCCCACGACCAGACCCCCCCCCCAAAAAAATCTCTGGACCCAAGCATACTACCAGTACCACTGATAGCCTTATGGCTCTGCGTAAGTCACTTACTTTTTTTTATTCTTTCGTTTTTTGATCTATAAACGGGGATAATAGCAGAATCTATTTCCTATAATTGTGAGGCTGAAAGTAAGTGCTTACAATGGTGACTATAGCACACATAGTAAGTGTCTCTCAATGCCAGCTATCGTTGTTAACTGCCCTACTAATCTGACCAGAATTAGTGGTTGAAATATTAGGATATCAATTCTATCACTGTGTAGACAGACTTATTTATCTTCTTAATAAAGATGGCTTAGAATGCCATGCCCTATAGATACATACTGTGTTATGCTATTTGCATGCTACTGATAACACAATTATTCATCAATACAGGTCATATTTTGAATGAATCCCATCTGTTCTGACATACTAAAGATAAATCTTTACACAAAGCTAATACTCTTCCACTTAGGCACTGTGCTTTTGAGCACCTGTGCCTTTATCCATGCTTCCTTTCAAAATTAGCGTTCATATACAGATACTTACAAGTACCAGACACCCTTTCTCATTTCCTAGTTAGTCAAAAAGAAGTATGTTTCTTGAGTTACACAGGCAGAACTTGATTTCTAGTATGTCTGTGATCTTAACTTCTAATCAGTACCCCTCCTTTCTGCTTGGAATGCTCTATCTTCCTCTGCCTAACCTCCTCATAAAGCACAACTCTTGCTGCCTTTGAATTCCCATTGTCCTATAGTGGACAGGCAGTAGCCACTGGGGGCTCTTTCTTCATTCATTATGTTCATTTGTGGGCATGTCTTAATAGTTCCCAAATTGATGTCCTGGAATCCTCCCAGGTTTGGCATAAAGCACAAATCATCTTTATTTATATCCCTCATAGTGCTTGACAGTGCTTGGTCTATTGTTATAAATTATTTGTCCAAGATAGAGTTAAAAAGAAAAACATTGTTTTTAGCATTAGTCTCTTTTCAATAATGAATAGTAGCAGAAACAGTAATATTATGACACAATCTCCAACTACGTAAGCCTCTATTACACATTCTGATTCCAGCATTTCATACTTCAATCACTGAATTTCTTAGTTCTCCTGGCACAGGAAAATGAACAAATTCTACCTGCTCAGACACACTGAAAACAAATACATAATCTTTACATGAAACCAATTCTCTTCCACTTAGACACTGTGCTTTCTAGCTTCTTTGCCTTTATCTATGATTCCTTTCAATACAAGTATTCATGTATTGGTACACACAAGTTCAGGTTGTTTTCAGCGCCCTTTCTAGTTCTTATTTGTGTGTGTGTGTGTGTGTGTGTGTGTGTGTGTGTGTGTGTGTGTGTGTGTGTGTGTGTACGTCTCAGTGCTTGAATTCAGGGCCTGGATGCTGTCTCTGAGCTTTTATTTTGCTCAAGGTTATCATTCTACCTCTTGAGCCACAGTGCCACTTAAGGCTTTTTCTGTGATTAACTGGAATTTTCTGCCCCCGCTGGCTTCAATCCTCAGATCTCAGCCTCCCGAGTAACTAGGATTGCAAGCGTGAGCCACTAGTGCCCAACTCTTAAAATGTTCAATCTAGTATGTCCTCATTCAAGTATGTTTTAATTAGAGAAAAACTATTAGGAATGTCTGAAGCAAGATTAGGGGGAAATTTTTATAAATGTAAAGTAACTAGAGATTTCTCTGAAGTCTTAGAAGGGTTTCTATAAGGGTACTCTCTATCCGCCACAAGAGAGAATTTTTTTAAATGTAGCTATTTTGAAGCTGTCACACATATTTATATCACATCCATGTGATATAAATGTCACGATTCAGTCGCAGTGTTCTGGGATAGAGGGAAGAATTGTGCATGAAGACACCCTTTCTCTCTGTCTTTTCAATGTGCAAAGGAGGTTCTGCCAATAGTCAGTGTCTCTTTCACCTGGCTATTTCCTTGGGCATTTGTAAGCAAAAAGATTTCAGAGAAAAATGCTGAACTAATTTGAGAAAAATGAGCACTCATGTGAACAACCTTCATATCACTTGAGGATTTAAATAATAGATGAGAATGGTAAGAATAGTAATAGTAAGTAATCATCTTAAAGGCAGGTGGGCTTTTTGGAAGGGAGGTGCCTGGGATCTATTAAATGTTAGGTGTGCCCCCTTTTGGAACACATTGATATCCAGAAGAAAATGTCTAGTTGCTTTAACCTGTGAGTGGCTTATTGCTACCAAAGGGAATATGCATTACGTTCAAAGTTGACTCTAAAGAGAATTTGTCAAGCAGATGTTTCAACAGCAATATAAAAACTCATCTGCATAATTATGGTGGAAGGAAAGGGTAACCTGTTACCTAATGAAGACTCCAATTACAGGTGCTCAATTATTTCACTCTTCTGCCTGTTACCAAGGAAGAGAATCTCATCACTAAGTGCCAAAGTTCTAATATTCTTGTCAGGCTTTCCAAAGCATTAACAGTTTCAGGAACAAGACTTTCTAGAACTGAACCAAAAGCAAACAAAAAAAGAACAAACAAAAATAAAGAATTGGTGGAGGCTTCTGACTGTAGTTGCAAGATAATTTTATTGAATACACAAAACAGTTTCTGCTGGGCTTTGGAGGCTCATGCCTGCAATGATAGCTACTCAGAAGACTGATCTAAGGATAGCAGTTCAAAGCCAGCCCTGGCAGAAAAGTCCATTAGCTTCTTATCCCCAATTAACCACCAAAAAGCCAGAAATGGAGCTGTAGCTCAAGTGGTAGAGCACTAGCCTTGAGCAAAAACTCAGGGACAGTGCCAGGTCCTGAGTTCAAGCCCTAGGACTGGCGCGCGCACACACACACACACACACACACACACACACACACACAAAGATAGGTATTGATTTGATATATCGCAGGAAATTTACATATGTTATTTCCTCTAGTCCTTCACAAGAACCCTGTGAAAGGTATAATTATCCGAGGTTGTCAAAGGGAGACACTTGGGCCAGCCAACCATCCAAAGTAACAATCACAAGAGAAGAGAGGTAGAGTGAGAACTCAGCCCCAGTGCCTGTAGATGATGGGCTCTTACCCCTGTATCACAGTCCTTCTACCCACTTTGATCTGCTCAAGAAATGTCATTAGAGAGAGCAAGCACTGACCCCAAGAGGAATGAACAGGCCTTATTACTGACACTTGTGGACACCAACACTGCCTTCACTGAGTTGACAGAAAGAATCCCTAGTCTAAATTAGACCAGTTTTTTGTTTGTTTGTTTTTTGTGTGTTTGTTTTTGCCGGTCATGGGGCCTGAACTCTGAGCCTGGGCACTGTCTCTCAACTCTTCAGCTCAAGGCTAGCACTCTTACACTTGAGCCACAGTGCCACTTCTGGCTTTTTCTGTTTATGTGGTGTTGAGGAATAGAACTCAGGCCTCATGCATGCAAGGCAAGCACTCTTCCACTGAGCCACATTCCCAGCCCAAATAAGACCAGGTTAAAAGATGTCAAATGAGCTTCCCAAAGTCACACAGAGAAACAACGAAAAAGGTCTTTCTGACACTGAGGAACTATCAGGTAGAAATTTACCCAACACAAAGATGTGCCTCTGCATAAATGACTACAACACCAACAAAAAACATAGCTAGTAAGAGGCAAGCCCAAGCACTGAACCAGATCTGCCTGGTTCTTTTCACTCTAGTTAACTCTCTGACAAACATTATAATAAAATTCTTTATGAGGCTTTATCTTATAATTACCCACCTGTCTTTCTCTAATTAGATTTAATTCTCCTAAATTCCATATAACTCCAACTAGAAGTCTGTGAAATCTTTATATTCAATTCATATATTCACACGCTATACTGACATAGCCCCCTCCATCTAAGTGACAAGTACTGAGAGGTCTGAAGATACAACAGCAAAGAAGGCAGATACTACTCTGTCCTAAGAGTGATTATATTTTAGAACCACCTTCTGTGAAGAATTGCATAGTTAATATTTTAAGCTTTCCAGATTGTAGGGTCACTGTTTCAACAATAAAACTCTGTCATTACAATATAAAAGCAGCTGAACATAATACATAAAGAAAGGAGTTTGGCTGTGTTCCAATAAAACTTTATTTATAAAAGCAAGCTGTGGGCCAGATTTGGTCCCCAGGACTTTTTTGATTATGGTCTACAGAAAGACACAGAAAAGTAGTCAAGTAGTTAGTAACACATTGTTGTTAATTAATCAAATAAAAAAAAACACAGGGGTTGGAAAGGTGGCTCAGTGGTAGAGAGCTTGCCTTGCATGCCTGAGGCCCTGGGTTCGATTCCTCAGCATCACATAAGCAAAAAGAAAAAAGCCGGAAGTGGCGCTGTGGCTCTATTGGTAGAGCGCTAGCCTTGAGCTGAAGAGCTGAGGGACAGCACCCAGGCCCAGAGTTCAGGCCCCACAACCGGACCTAAAAAAAAAAAAAACAACAAGAAAAACACAGACTTCCTGATCTCACAGACTGTGTTCTTACACTGACTGTATAAAAAGAGGAGGCAGAGTAACCCTATGCCATATACACCTGTACACCTCAGTCTAGGCCTTTGTCTGGTCTATATTGAGATATGGGACGGGGAGGGGAGGGGAAGGGAGGGGAGAGAAACTACAGTGAGTTCTAGGAATATATTTCAGGGAAACTTAAGCCAAATTGGGAAAGAGGCTGTCATCTGAGAAATGCAGATCAAAGCCAGCTCTAGCAGAAAAGTCCATGAGGAGCCACTTATCTCCAAAAACAGTCAAAAATGGAGCTGTGGCTCAAGTGGTAGAGCAGTAACCTTGAGCAATAAAGCTCAGGGACAGTGCCCAGGTCCAGAATTACAACCCTAGGATGAGAGGAAGGAAGGAAGGAAGGAAGGAAGGAAGGAAGGAAGGAAGGAAGGAAGGAAGGAAGGAAGGAAGGGAGGAAGGGAGGAAGGGAGGAAGGGAGGAAGGGAGGAAGGGAGGAAGGAAGGAAGGAAGGAAGGAAGGAAGGAAGGAAGGAAGGAAGAAAGAAAGGAAGGAAGGAAGGAGAGAGAGAAAAGAAAATGAATGGCTTCTAAGAAGAAGCTACATTCTCAAAGCAACTTGTGGAGGAATAGGAATTAGCTCAATACAAGTTTCCATTACCTTTCACTTATTTTAATCATACTTCCCTTTAATCATATTTCTCATGTGCAATTAATTAGTTTTTCTTAGTTTGCTTGTATTTTCTCTTTTATCAAAATAATTAAAGCCCTTTCCCTTCCCTTCCACAAATACACCAGAAATTTCCTTCAGTCTATCTCATTTTAGATTTTACTCAATCTATCAGTAGTCTTGCAAAACTGAACTTAGATAAATTTTGTGGTATGGAAGTCATATATACCAAAAATATAAATAAAGCCAGCAGCTTGACTCCCAGTAATGCTCAAAGAATGAATGTACTTTGCTGAAGCCAGCATAAACCAGAGTCTGGGAAAAAAACAACTTTATTTTAACTGTATTTTTTTTTGTCTTTTCTTTTTTTTTTGGTACTGGGGATCAAACCCAGGACATTGCACTTGCTAGGCAAGCGCTTTGCCACTGAGCTACATCCCAGCCCTAACAACTTTATTTTAATCTCAAAGAAATCCTCAGAGATAAAGCTTCACAAGCTTCTGAGTCTTTGTATAAGACACATGAGAGAGAAAAATAATAGTAAACTTAACCTATAGTAACTTCAGCTGTTAGAAACAAAATACAAAATTATACTGAATGTATAGTCAGACATGTGAGCAAGAAGTAATGCCATAAAATTACCAAGTAAATCTGGAAATAAATAATGAAACTCCTAGATGTATACTAATAAGTGGATTAAGAAGCAAATTAAACCCAACTCAAAAAATAATTCATAAATTGGATAAGATAGACTGTGCAACAGATTACTTCTCTACAGAGAAATTGAGAATTTGCAGGTCGAAATGAAGAATCAAGTACTAACACAGATATACAAGGAGGCAGACTACATGCAAAAGGCATAAAATATACAAGAAATATATAACAACGGGAATGTGAACACATCAAACATCAAATTGGAATGCATAATTACTGAATGAATGCCAACTTCCATAAAAATCAGGAGCTCACTTGCAAGTGAAAAATTCTTCCTTGTTCACTCTGCTTGGCCAAGTTACAAAGATGAAAATATTTTCCACTCCTTATAGAGGTCACTGATGTGCAAAGGAACCAGGGTATTTGTGAACCATTACACTAGTTGAGTTTCAAAATCCAGGGAATACTGTGAACAAACATTCTGTCCAATTTTAAATTTCTTTGTCCACTAAGTTTGTGTGTTTCTTTTCCCAACATTATTGCACTGTTTGTAGTAAAAACCAGAACACACTGGAATCTAAGCTTTAGGGTCATATTGGAAACCCTCAACATCTAGTACAGTGTTGAATACAGTGCTGATTATATATGGAAGGTTATTGATTGACAAACAGCATGATAATATCAACAGCACCAGGAAATAAGCACGTTTATTAAAAGTGACATTTGAAAGAAATCAACCCAATAATGTCTTTTCAGGGCTTGAAATAAAATTGGACTCAGCAGATGCAATCCTAATTCAGATATCTCCAATCTCAGTTTACAGGAAAGTAAGAATATAATCTTAGTTAACATTTCAGGATCATGTACTATTACCAGAAAGTATTTCAAACATGTGAGGAGAAGAAAGCAAGAATTCTTTTTTATCCGAATTGGCTTCAATCTACATAACTGCAAACAAATTGCTTGTATTCTCAAAATGAACCTATATGAATGAACCTAAATGAATCCTATACCCAGTGTGTTTTGTGATTACAAGTATAATATCAAAAAGCTACAAAAGATAAAGAAAATAAAATGAATATTGTTTCACTTTAACACAGTTAAAGTGGATTGTTTGAGGTTTTTAAAGTCCTCTTTTGCTGAACCCAGCAAAAAAAAATCTATGAAATTCCAACTGATAACCATGGGAAAATTGCAAGAAAATTGTTTCTTGTTTGATCCAGTTTTGTCTGTTCCCCATTGAAGGGTATGAATCTACCACTTATAATATAGCCTGGACATCAGGGCAGTGAGTTTAAAAACAAAACAAACCTGGTGCTGGCTGGGCACCAGTGGCTCATGCTTGGAATCCTAGCTATTCAAAAAGCTGAGATCTGAGGACCATGGTTCAAAACCAGCTGGGGCAGGAAGTCTGTGAGATTCTTATCTCCAATAAAATGGCGAAAAGCTGAAAGTGGCAATGTGGCGATATGGCAGACCACTAATCTTGAGCAAAAAAGTACAGGGAGAGTGAAAGAGCATGACTACTGGCAAAACAAGACAAAAACAAAGTGCTGCAACACCAACAATGAGCTCATTAAATACCCATAGATGCCTGATTTCTGAATTCAATCAGAATGATTCTGATTTGACAGTTGTGAGAAAAATCTCACAGATACGAAGATACAGGTTCATCCAGTGAAATGTACACATAGCCCAGAATCTTCCTAGCAACACTTGGTCTTAGGACAAATAGATCCATGAGCCCTCCCTTTCCCACCAGATTCTGAGAATCATAGCTGGGCCAGAGAAGTAAACTGATTTGCAAGGATTTGGTTTGGTTTGAATCCCCTAAAAGACTTGGATCTCCTGCCATAATCAGAAGGATAGATTAGAGTCATCATAATTTCCAGACAAGGAGTTAACTGCTATTTATTTTGAGAGCTAACAATTGATTTAAGAACACCATGAATTTAAACAAATTCTTTTCAAGTATCTACTCCTTCCTCTTCCCCAAAGAATGAATGAATCTTACCATTTTACAGTTGTTATGGAAATGGGCCATTTTCCCTTGGCGTTTGACTTCAGATTTCGTTTCAAGAATGAGAAAAAAGAGGATAGGAAAAGCAGATGTCTGTCAGCTTTTTTACCTAACCTGAAGAGAAGGTGGTCAATTTATTTGTTTACTTGGTTGCACAATAGCCAATAAAACAGACTCAAGGGCTTTTTACATCAAAGCTCTATACTGAGTGGCCAAAATCAGGGAGGTGGAGAAGATACGTCAGCATTTTTTATAAAATCCACTTTAATTTACTCTTACTTTGAAACATGCCTTTAAAGCATTGTTTAACAATATGTCCTTAACAGATCATTATAGGTGATCCTAACTATTACTAAGGATCCTATTACTAAGGCACACAGTTTTGTCATTTCTACTTAATGTACAAACCACATGCATTTACCTTCACTCAGAAGAGAAAAACATTCAACATCTGTTCATCAACAGTTTCCCTTCTTACTGAACTTCACACACTCCAACCTGAAGAGTTAAATAAGTATGGATACATATATATGGATTTATATAGTATATTTTACTACATATGCTATAGTAGATGTAGTATATTGTATACTAAGTACTATATATATGCTATATATAATATATATAGTATACATATGGCATATAGTATGTTGTACATGTTTTATTCTATATACTATACTGTAACATATACAGTAAAGTATACTATATAATATACAAAGTACACTAAAATGTATTGCATATATTTAAGTGGAATATGTATGCAGTATATGTAGAGAGGTTATATATGAGACACATATTTTTTCTCCATTTTTCCTCTTAGAACTTTTTGATGATTTTTGCAAACGAGCCAACAATTGAGCACAAAGGGCTTTGGAGTCACGCTGGGTATTGTGACAGAATCACATGTTTACATGGGATTCGTCTACTCTGAAAGTGCCTGAACTGAGAACTGCAGAGTTGAATAGAGTCAAATGTTGGAGCCAGCCCAACCTGAGAGAGATTTAAAGCTTAGACTCCACAACCTATGGGGAAAGTTCCCTGCTGTGACATGGAATAAGGGTAACAGAAAAATGAGAGCAAGACTTGTAAAAACAACTCTGGTTTTGCTCTTTCTTAGCCTGTTTGGAATCCTGGAGGCATCAACAATATCGTGCAGAAATGAAGAAGGTGAAGATGTAGATTGGTAGGTAAATGCAATGTAAAGATTGATTCATGCAGAATGAAAGCCAGGGTGTTGGAGGCTATCTGGCTGGCTGTGATGTCCCTAAGGAAAACTTTCCTGTCACCTCCTGACTTTAGAAGGAAAGAGGCTTGAAGTGTGACAATGGGCTCAGTTTCCAGACAGGGATCTGCTTCTATTGTCCCTGAGAAAGTACTGAGCAGCTATCTGGGGATGTCATTGGCCATTCTCAGCAGGACACAGCTGTGGGCTCAGAGTGGGACTGCACTGACAACTTCTGACAGCTGGCAATTTCTTTTATTTACATATGGTTTTTCCTAACAGTGCCCTTTCAACATCCTTTCTGAGACTGGAGGATGACTTTTCTTCTGAAGCTGATGCGTGCTCTTCTTATGAAGAAGGAGGGCATGATGACGCACAGCGCTGTTTGGTTAACCTTGGTTTGTTGGCCAGTACAGGCAGTTAGTTGTTGGAGTGGCTGGGAGGTCACTTGCCACTTTTACGGTAGTAAAGACACCAATCAGAGTTGCATTATACCCATGGCTTCTCCGATAGCTTTGGTCACTTTTCTGCTCTTTAATTAGGGTGTTTAAGATTGTCATGATGGCTGGCACCAAGGTCTGTGTGACCTTCTGGCTAGAGAACACAGATCTGTTCACTCAGTCTGTCAGCACTTCCTGCACTCCTGCCTGGGCCTGTGCTGAGTTTTGAAGATACAATGTGAACAAAACAGAGTTCTTACCCTGAAGGATCTTACAGCTGTATCAGAAAGGTATAGGTAGAGAAATAAGGCAGCATATAATCCAGATGACTTCTCTAAGGAAGTAGTTTTTGAACTAAATTGTAAGAACAAGTATGAAGTCAGAAAAAAAGAAGATGTAAAACCATCTCAGGCTAATAAAGATCAAAAAGGTAGTACAGAGGCAAAATGCAAAGTTGGGAGCTGCTAAAACTTTGGGAAAATGTGCAGAAATAACAGGAGGTAAGGTTAAAAAGGATGGTCAGAATCAGAGGGTTACTCATGCATCAGGAAGATTGATACTATGTCACTTGCAGGGAAATGGATGAACCTAGAAAAAAAATCAAGTTGTCAAGCTCAGAGGGACAAAAGATGTATGCTTCCTCCCATAGCTAGAATTTAGACCTAAATTGTTAATATATATATATATATATATATATATATATATATATATAAACATGTACAAGGTCATATGCATATCTACACAAACGTGGTATATGCAGAGGAGGACTCCAATGGTGTAACTTCTTTAAACAACTAATGTACATTTTAACAGTCACAGACAGCAATAGGACTTTGGCAGTATTGCAGGTGAGAGAGAATGTAAATGGGTGGTTGTAAAGCGCAACAGTTTACTAAGTGGCTAACTAGGAAGCTGGAACATATGTTAGGGTAGGGGAGTGTTATAGTCTGGGAGAATGGAATAGACCAATGGAGAGAGGAAGTCTGATGACTACAGTCCTAATGGTCAATGGATACATGTGAAAATGTAACTAGGTAAATTGAGGGTATGGATGAGGTTGACTACAGTCCTAATGGTCAATGGATACATGTGAAAATGTAACTAGGTAAATTGAGGGTATGGATGAGGTTGGGAGAGAGAATGATGAAAGGGATGACATCCATCAAGGTGCATTGTGTTCACAAACTGACATGTTGAATTGAAACCCACTTGTACAATTACTTAATGATCATTTAAAACTAAGTTAATTTAAAAATATGCTCAAATTAAAAGAAGAAGAAGATCTGGATGGTAAGGAACTTCCTGGGCTGAGCTTTGGGGTTTGAACTTACAACAGGGAGCTAATGAAAGGCTTTGAATGCGAGGTGAGAACCTGTCAGCTTCACATTTTAGGATGCCCATTGGCAGCACTATGAATGGCGGATGGAAGGGAATCAGTCTATAGTTACAGACAGCAATAGGAGTTTTGCAGTATTACATGTAAGACAATATGAAGACTTGAGTTAAACAGGGGGTAGTGAAAACATAGAGAAAAAGTCATTCTTGAAAGACTTAATAGGGGACAGGCAGACGGAGTGAAGAAAGAATAATAAGAAAGACTTAAGTTTTTGGTTTATGTGTCTGTGTAGTTATTTCTCTAGTAGAATGGGATGAGAAGATTTGTAGCACAATGCTGCAAACTTGACTCTAAAATATAGATTCAGAAGTTTCTGAAATATCTTTTTGTTTGAGTTTATCTGGACCTCAACATAGAAGTCTGGACTAGAAAATGATAAATATAATTGAAGATGGTCACCTTCAAAAAGTGTTTAAAAGTACTGCCATAACACATTAATAATCCTCCAATGCTTCACTGGTAGTCTACCAAAAGTGATTTTTAAGTCATTTATTTCCTTGAGACAAAGTCTCACATTGTAGCCCAGACTGGCCTGGAACTCACAATCCTCCTACCTCTAGCTCCTAACTGTTGAGATTAGAGGTGAATATCACGATGTCCATCACAAAATTTGTTTTTGCTACAATTGAATATATATATGTATATTCATTGGCCATACATATGTCAGAGAATATAAGCAACTTGATGCTTAGCAGCTACAAATTACTAAAAAAAAAAGAAGTTAAAGTGCAGAGGCCATCATATCAGCAACAAAGAATAATTGCCTGTTGCCTGCCACATGCAAGGACTTGGGTCTGTGACTGAGAAGAGGAGGACAGGAACAGGTATGTTCAAATAGAAGCATATGACTGAAGAAAATAGTGAGTATGAAGCTCTTAGGAGCAGACAGTATGTGTATTATAATATTTAGTTCAGTGCGATTTTAGGGGTTAAGTGTAGGGTTCATGTTACTAGAGAATATTCGGCTAGATCAGTGATTCTCAAATTAGGGCAATTTTGCCCTTGGGGGATTTTGACATGGTTTAGAGATATTTTCCATTGTTGTAATTTTGGAATAATATTGGTACCTAGAGTGAATAGCTGAGATCCTGTAGTGCACAGGACAGCTTCCACAGCAGAGAATGATCTAGATGGGGGCTGGTGGCTCATCTTGTAATCCTAGCTACTCAGGAAGCTGAGATCTAAGGATTGAGGTCTTAAGACTTCTTGGGCAGGAAACTCTGTGAGATTCTTATCTCAATTAAATGCCAAAAGCCAGAAGTAGAGCTGTGGCTCAAGTGGTAGATCACTAGCCTTGAGCACAAAAGTTTAGGGAAAGCATCAAGTGTCAGAGTTCAAGCCCCAGAACTGAACACACACACACACACACACACACACACACACACACAAGAAAAATCCAACTCATATGTGAATAAAGTACATTGAGAATCCCTGAGCTCATGGATCCAAGACTGCCTGTTCACTCTGTGGCTCACCTGTCCTTCCTGTAAGATAACCACTAGAGGTATACAAATAGGAAAAAACAGAAAAGGAAAGAAATAGCCAACTAAGTCGATCTTATGCCCAAATAATGAATGCAGAACATTTTGGAAAAGTGAGCTGAAGATGGCTTAGGCCAGAGGTTCAAGGGATCCTCCACCTCTCTTAAAGCCCACAGATATACACCATATATTCAGCTGGCCAGCTGCAAAGATGTGGGACAGAAAGTTATTGTGACAGAAGAGAGTCCAAGACTAGTTCTCTAGTCCCAGTATAGCCCTTAGCCTTCTCCCTACTGCAACTATTAGGACAAAGGAAATAGAGTAAGTTGCTCTCAATGTACATGGACTTCTACTTCAGTAATTCAAGCTTCCAAGCAAATAATGTCTTAGAACATATCCCGCTCAGACTCGTATCTCTAGACCAGGAGGAAAGGAAAAGGCAGAGTAAGCGGCCTTGAGAAAGTCCTTTCCTTGGATTCCTTCTCTGG